GTTTGTTTAACGAGTATGGATCATAGTGATTTTAAGATTTGTTGAGGATTGTTGATGATGTTGAGGAGGTGTGATGATGATCATGACTAGTATGTCTCGATGAACTTGATGTTGCGTTTTGTTGGACGTTTATTTACCTTATGTGAGGGTTTGAGCCTTATTTTGTTTCTTTAGAGATATTGGTCGGAGTCGTTGCTGATCAGAACTTGCTTTGAATCTATTTTGAAATGAATTGATTGAAGTAGTGATTTGTGAAAATGATTGAGGCATTTCTTTGACATTGCTCGTTTTAGCCTTTTCCATTGACCCTTAAAGTTATATGTTCATTAGTAGCCCGTTGAGCCTAAACCGTTTTTCTTGTCAACCGAATTGATTGAATTTCTTAAGATTTGACAGTGTATGTATTATGATGACGGAGCTTTTAATATGTGTTTGGAGAAGGTGTATATTTGCTCGAGTTGCATTTTGGGTGCTTGAGAAAAAAAAAGAAAAAAGAATAAAAAAATAGGAACTCGCAAGACGGACTAAAAGATTCTACTCCGCTTACTTGTGGGATTTTCACGAGTAATGAGTATTGGGAAACCACTCTAGGAAACTTGGATGACCTCCAATGTTTAAACCTAGAGAATGTCGTCCTTACGTTTCAGTCTTGTTAGGAAAAGGCAATTTCCCTAAAAATAAAATATATATAAAATAAAAAAAAAAAAGAGTCGAGTACTTGAAGTGCAATTCAGTTTGAGCATATGCGAGTGTTGAATTGAGTCTTGATGGGAGTGGTTAGTATCATGTTGATGTTGGATGAGTGGTGAGGTGTTCGAGTTAATTATATGCTCGAGGGTTTGATTGTTTATTTGAGTCACTTTATCCTTATATTTTTTCTCCCTTTGATGCCTGCAGTTCAACCTTGAAAGTCCTCTTGATTTACAGTTCATGATCTTTGGTTGTTTTAGAGTATGAGTAGATGATAAGAAAGCTTATGTTGATGCATGATGATCGACCAATTTGAGCGAATCCATTTCATATTCATGAAAGAAACCGAGTGAGGCATATACATTTACACTTCCGTGCTTGAGAGTTTGTCTTTTCAAAGCGTTGCATTCCAGTCGTAATTCAGGTGTGCTATATTGGTCATTGGAATCCTCCTCGGCTAAGTTGATAAATTTGAGACTTGTCTTATCCGAAACTATTATCCATGCTCGTTTGCTTGTTTTCGTGTCTTTTCTTTTATTTTTGTTCGGGACGAACAAAGGTTTTGTGTGGGGGAGTTGTTTGTCCCATTTTTGTTGTGTTTTTCATTGTCTTTTTGCCATTCTTTTTCCCCCGTATTGAGTCGTTTAGGTGGTTTTAGGATCTTTTTGTCATTTATTATGTGTTTTGCATTCATTTGAGTGTTGTGGTGTTTTCCGTTTGTTTTCCGGTCTTTTTCTGTTCTCTTTTTGTTTTTTGTTGTGTAGTTTGGAGACCTCGGGAGAACAGGTATTCGAGAATCTTTAGGGGAAGCTGACACCGTTAGAAAGAGGGGCTCATTAGCGACGCATAGGAAAAAGCGGAATTGAATTCTGATATTAGACGAGCCCGAACGAGCCCAAATCGTGAAGTCATGCAAAGCTGCCGGGGGCCTTAGTGCCGCTAAGGCCTGTGTGGTTAGCGGGTTTTGGCAGCTGAGCGGGACAGAGGAAACCAGCTAAGAAGGCTTAGAGCCGCTAACCCCTTAGCGGCGCTAAGGCCTGTTTTCTAACTGACGCGATTTTCGTGGGTTTTGAATGGGGAAATGATATTAGATCGAGGGAGGGCAGTTTTTACTTATCTTTGAACAGTGTTTTTCGTCCTTTTTGACAGGAAGAACATAATTTCACTTGGGTTTTACCTAGATTTGATTTTGGAGAGTGAAAAACTCCCTTTATCTTTCGGATTTGGATTGCTATCGGGATTTTGACATTGAATTTCGTATTAATCGTAAGCTCTCTTTTCACTTTCATTGATGAATGTTATGGCTTTCTTTGATGAGAATATGAATGTTGAGTTTATGATGAGTAGCTAAATCCTTGTGCTAGGGATAGGGGATTGATGTTTCGATTTCGTTTGTGATTGTGGGTGTTCGTTGATTGTTCATCTTATGCGAGTTAATCTTGAATTAGGGTTTTTCAATTATTATTTTGGATTTTGAGAATTATTGAAGGGTGACACTTCAACTTGCAATTGTTTAAATTGGATTTGATAAATTCGTGTTTGATGTTGTTAATTCTAAACGGGCTAGTTGATTAATCATCTTCTAAGTTAATCGGCTCTTAGAACCGAAAGGGGAGGAGTAGGTCGAAATAGGCTCGCATAAGCTAGGCTTGTTCGTAACTGTATTGCCTAGGAGTTAAATGACTTGTTAATTTGTCGTTCTAGTTTGTTCTCTTGTTACGAAAAGTTATTGAGAATGAGTACTTGAACGTGTAGGTTATTCAAATCACTTAACTGGACAATCACTTGCTCGATAATCACATTTCGAACCAAAACTGACATCCCCGACTCCCTAGCTTCTCTAATTCTATCTTTTCTACGTTGTTTTCTATTTACATTGCTTAATTTAGATCCTCGTGCTAGTAGATAATTAAAATCAACCCAAATCAACTGAATTAGAATGTCTATGATTTTTATTTCTTTCATTCGTGTTTGAATAAACGCACATAGTATTCCAGTTAACCTTCCTCGTGAGACACGACACGGTGTACGAATCTTTCGATTCTACCCCAGAAAATATTCACAATAATTATACCTCTTGGGTGATCTTTTCCATGCTTATTTAGGTCACCTCCTCTTCTCCGTGCCCTCTCGATCGTCTCTCTTCTCCTTATTTTAACACAAACTCCTTAGATTCTCGACCCGAAACACCAAGTCAATCTCATCTTTCAGCTCTCGATAACTATTGAAAGAATGACCATAATACCTATGGTACCTACAGTATGGGTTGCTGCGAAGGATGACATTCCCTGACTTCTTGGGAATAGGGGTAGGTCGGACGATGATTCTCATATCCCCACGCTTCTCAAGGAGCTTCAACACCTCTTTTTGGATCACGGTCAAGAGCACGTACTGCATGCACTTGTACCCCAAATTGTTGCGTTCTGTTATCCTCGAATCTCTGTTGAAGACCTCTTGTCATCCGAGCGAGGCTTCTCCTCAGCTCGCGCAACTGGGCTGCCAGTCTTTCCAAAGTAGCATCCCTGGCTGGTCGGGACATGATACTGGGTGACGATGTCGACCTCACCTCCACCTCTTCTGCTCTTTTCTCAAGTTGTGGTTGCAGAATTACCAAATTTGCCTGGTTGGGTGCTCGAGCTCGAGTCACTGCCTCAACCATGATCTTATCCAACGCTGCCCTGGTGAGTTGAATCACCTGATTTTCATCTATGGACCTTTTATCACTCTAGATTTTTTTGTTGTCCTCCTTGCCCCTGGGGTTGGGCAACCCCAAGGACCTTAAACTGTTGTTCTTCAGCCCTCTAGTTGGGTTTCCAGTGGCCTGAGCCACCACAATTTGCTCCTGGTTACCACCACTATCACCTCTGGTGGGGGAACTGATGACTCTGCATGGAACTGGATCATGGCACAAGGTCTA